TTTTTTTTTTTTTTTTTTTTTAAGTGAATAATAATATACGGTAGTGATTTCACAGTAAAACAGACCTGCGGGAACGCCGGATATACGTGACAAAAGACACCCCCAGACCAGCCCACGCCCTCCCTCCTCTCCCTCCCTTGCCCCCCCCCCCCCCCCCCCCCCAAAACTTTATTCTGGGGGGGGGGGAAAAAAAAATAAAAAGTTCATTCGAAAAAATTATTTCAAAAGAGATTTCATATAAAGCCTTTAAAACACGGTCAGAAGTTTCTCCCTCTTCTCCAGATCCCTGTGGCTGAACATTACAGAGAGAAAGAGAGAAAGTGAGAAAAAATAGAGAGAGTTTATAACAATCTCTGTAGAAGAAACAAAACAATCCAGAAAGAAAATATCCAAGAATACGGTAAGGGATAAAATTACATTTGTACAAAAATAGATTTTAACTTTATTGATGCTTTAGATATTTTTTTTCCTTATGTTTTCTCATTTTTTTTTGTCATTCTAAATTTTAATTTTTTTTTTTTTAATCTATGCATCCCATAGCCAAGGCATCCATCACTAAGTATTGGGAATTGCTAAAGCTATTTTTTTTTTACTCAAACCCACCTGCTTAAAAGAAAAAAAAAAAAAAGAAAAAAAAAACAGAACAAAATAAAACAGAACAAAATAAAACAGAACAAAAAGGCATCTTAAAATAGATGCAGTTCCTTTGCCTCGAGGAATACAGATCCAGATTTGGCATTTGCCAATTTGGAAAGGGATTTGGATACAATGGGAGCAAAAAAAAAAAAAAAAAAAAGCAAAGCAACAAAATAAAAAGCAAGGACAAAAAATAGGAAAAAGAATTGACTTAAAACACAAAAAACCACGAAAAGTCTGTAATTGCTACAGTTATAATATCTGTATATGTGAGTGAGGGTATTTATACAGTGTATATATCTACAGTACATACATGTATACACACGCACATATAGCAACTTAAACCAGCTCCTGCACACTCCTCACTGATGGGGACAGCATCAGCTCTTGAGCCACATTCCTGCCAGCTCCAGCCCTTTTTAGGATCAGGAGCTGAGCCCAGGGCTCTCCTTCCCAGGGTGGAGAGGTCAGGGGGTCGGTGTGGGTGTCGTACACCCGCGGCTGCTGCGGGGATGAAGGTCCTTCACCCCTCCCTCCACTCCTGGGGGCCCCCCCGGCCACAGAGCTCAGCATTCCAGCGCCCAGGAAACCTCAGCATCCTCATGGAGGGGCCTGGGACGTGCTGGATTCAGATTGGTTTGGGATAGGGCTCGTGTTGGAACATGCACAGGCAGTGAGGGACAGCCAGGGTGGCAGCGGGTGGCTGAAAAGCTGATGTTTGTGCTATCTTTAGAAAATTAAAGATTGTCCCACCAACAAAAAGGAATTTAAACAAAACAAAACAAAACAAAAAATTAGAAATAGATCACCCTAATCAAACCAGATTTTTGCAACAGTACTAAGATCTGGTTAATCAAAGTCCTACCTCTCTAGTGGATAATGTGCCTTTTTTTTTCCTCTAGCCATGTCTCACCTCTCCAAACAAGCACGTCCATACTCAGCGTTATTATGATTAGGACAACAACAACAAAAAAAGCCAAAAAGTGAAAAGAATACAAATGAAAGACTCAAACTCATGCAAAGCACGTTGCTTTAAGGCTGCTGTGGCGGATGTTATGGATGCACAAAAGCTTTTCCTTCCCTTGGGAAGGGCTGGGCTGGGAATGGAGGGGGTGGGGCCTGGGGGTTCATCACCCACGTTCCGGGAACCCCAACTCCCCTTCACCTGCTGAAAACTGAAATCCCAGGACAAGGCTCAGCCTTTCCCCAACCCCCCTCCACCACGGGCATGGATTGAGGCTGTGAGCTGCTCCAGCAGGGAAACTGAGGCACAGGGATGCACATCCTGATGGGAAGTCTGGAACCCGTGGAGTCTCCCCCTTGGCATCGCACTGCCTGTGGGGGATACCCCCTGCCCATGGCATTTTATCAGGGCAAATGCTAATGGGAATGGGATGGGATGAAACAGGATGGGATGGGTAGGGTGTGATGGGATGGGATGAGATTGGATGACATGAGCTGGGATGAGAGAGAATGAAGTGGATCAGGATGGGATGGAACATGATGGATTCAATGGTATGAGATGGGATAGGATGGGATGAGATGGGATAGGATGGGATGAGATGGGATGGGGTGGGATGGAATGCAAGATGGGATGGAACGTGATAGAACGTGACAGAATGGAATGGGATGGGATGAAATGGAAAAGGATGGGCTGAGATGGGATAGGATGGGATGGGAAGGGACAGGATGAAATGGAATGGGACGAGATGGGATGGGACAGGAGCTCCCACCGTGAAGCCCAGCACCTTGCAGCCACCACAGCTCAACACCCAGCACCAAGCAGCCCCTTCCAAGCCATCCAGCAGGAAAAAAAAGTGGTTCCACCCAACAGAGAAGGACAGCGGGTTTATTCCAGTGCAATATCCACCAACTTTCCCAAAGCATCCTCATCCTCTCTGGCAAGCAAGTTCCAGGCTCCTTTCTGCTGGAAGAGCCGGGCTGGGGGCTGCCCAGGGGCTGGGTGGGCTCCGGGCTGAGCTCCACTGGGAGCCAACACCTCCCTGCACCCCCCAAGGGCTGCGCCAGCCTCACGCTGGCAGGGAACAGCCTGCTCGCGTTTCCTGGCACCCTTTCCAGATTTCATCTCTCTTGCCTAGTTTTCTTGGCAAATTCTTGCAGGGTGAAGCTGTTTAATAATATTTTCGGCGGCATGCAGGCTGCTGGGGAAACACAGCCAAAACACTTTCCCTGCCGCTGCGGATTTGCCACTTCGGGCCAGCCTGAGGGGGAAGTTCTGACCTGAAATCCTGAGTGTTTTTTTTTAGCAGTGAGATGGCCTGCTGAGCTGCAGGGGATGGAGCTGGGGGCTCCAGCTGCCAGGCAGGATGACAACAGCAGGTGGCCACTGTGTCCCCTCAGAACCAGAGGTGTGAGGTGGTGGGTGCTGCTCCACCCCCCTCTGGGCACGAAGGAGGTGTTTTCAACCAGCCACAACCCATGGGGAGCAAGAAGAGGATCTCTGGGAGCAAATACTTTGTTGTTTTAAAGCACAAGAGGACATGGAAGTGGTGGGGAAGCCCTTGGCCACAGGCCAACCACAGGCACCTCATTCTTGGCTCGCAGCACTTGTCCCACAGTGTGTTTGGGACAGTCCATCCTGCCAAGGGGAAAAAAGCCCTTCCCAACATCCCTCACCGCTTGCTCTGCTTTGTTTTTTTCTCTAACTCAAGTTTTTGGTGGGGCACTGGAGACCCCTGACGAGGGTGAGATGATCCCTGGCTGACCTCTTGCCACACGCTCCCTGGGGAATCCCATCTTGTGGGGTGTGAGCACGTTCCTGGGACCATGTCCCTAATCCCCAAAATCTTGTCCATCTCCCTGCTGTCACACCAAGACTCAAGGAAAGGACTGTGCAAAAGCCAAGGTGCTCTTGGTGCTCTCAGTATCCCAGACAGGAGAGGGGGTGGGTGGGTGCTGCCATGTTCCCCACCCAGCTGGGACCTCTCAGCCCCCACATTCTGTGCCCGATGGGGGAGATTCAGGGGAGGGGGAGCCCTGTTCTTGCTTCACCACTAATTAACAGCTGCAATTAACCAGCCTGGCCAAGCACTCCCACTAATTGTTGCCTTGCAGTGTTTTGCACGGCTGAAACAACAGGAGCAGCCTCCTGGGTGAGCCGAAACCCCTGTGTGGGGTCATGCTGGGATGCTGGGGCAGTGCCAGGATACTGGGGCCATGCTGGGATTCTGGGGCCATGCTGGGATGCTGTGCTGAGGGCAGGGGTCCCAGCAGGCCCCCATGAGCTGGGGTAGGGCGATAGGGAGTCCCTGGCAGCCTTAAAGCAACTGCTCCAGCCGGCTCTTTCCACGTGGGCAGCTCCACACCCAGCGCAGAGGCATCTTTGGGAAGAGCGGCGATGCCCAGCCATCCTCTGGGATGGCAGAGGGGGATTTTTCAGGTGCACGCTCTGCACAGAGGGTGACCCAGCTCCCTGTGCCACCGGTTCCCGTGTTATTTAGGGGGGGGGATTCAGCTCAATCCCAAATCCTCTGCTGTGAACTGGAAGGAGAAGGCTCTGTGCAGCCACGGGTGACTCATTCACGGGGCACGGCCGGGCCGCCTCTCCCTCCGCAAAGTAACTACCGAGACTACTAATAATAGTTAGAAACCAAAAATAGAATTCTTTTTTTTTTTTTTTTGGTTGGATTTTTTTTTTTTCTCTTCTCTTTTTCAAAAAAACTCCATCCTCTGAAAATAGCCAGCTGCAATCCGGCGAGTTCAGCCACTCCCCTCAGCTTGTCCAAACCCCACTGCCCCCGAAAGGGCTGGGACTGTCCCCGTCCCCGCTCCTGCCCCGGGGCACCCACGGAGGGGGTGGGTGGGTGATGCCAAGCCCGGCTGGTGGCTCATCCCAAAACTCATGGCACGGCGGGGGCCGGGCAGGGGGTGGGTGGCGAGCTCTCTCCGCTCCCACTTCTCTACATCTAGCGCAGGGGACCAGCGAGCAGGTCTGGAGATGCAGCAGTGACAGCAAACGGACAGGGGTGAAGGCGACGAGGAGGCGAGGACGGCGGGGGGTCACCCCCCCCCGGATCAGACGGTGCCTCCGGCGCTGGGGTGAGGAGGGAGGGACGGGCTGGGGCGGCGGCGGAGGAGGAAAGCGGAGGGAGGGGCCCCGCGGGACCCCCCGGCCGGGCGAGGGACTGACCCAGCAGCAGTTTCTCTAAGTCATTTGATGTGGCGCTTCCAGCATTTCCATCAAGAAGGTGTCGATGGGTGTGTCTCCTATTAGCTTGAAGAAGAAGAGGTGCTCCAGGCATTTCAGGCCGATGGACCGGAGGGCTGGGAGGCGGAGCAGGAGCTTTGCAAACCTGGGGGACAGGAGACACGGCACGGTCAGACACCACCCCACCTCCAGGCCTGCTTCTGCCCGGCCCCCCCAAAGCTCAGAAGGGTCGGGAGTCAGACACAACCTCCTGCTGCCAAAGACACGGGGCTACACCCAGAGCTGTGCAGAGAAATCATTAATTATGTCCCCAGCCTTGAAGATCAGGCAGCCACGGTGGATATCCACAACAAACAGTGCTGATAGCTGAGCTGGGAGGGTAAAACAAGAAATGAAAGGTCAGCCCTGGACTGGGGGGCACCACTGGCTCGGTGCATGTGCATCACCACCCAGTGAGCACCCTGAGGTGCTCGTGGGGTCCCCACACCACAGCCACGGTGAGGAGGCACCACGGGGCCAGCCTTGGCACAGGCAGAGGTGCAAACAGCTTCAGCAGCTGGATCTTTGGTCAGGGAAAAGGGCAAGCAGCCAGGAAGGGGATGGAGGAGATGGTGAGTGGTGTTAGCTGGCACTTGGCTTGGTGATGTCCCTTTCCTGCAGGCACTGGGCACCCCCTCATTGGGGCTGCTGGCCATCCCCAGCTGCAGCTGAGCCCTGGGGCTGCTGGCACAGCAGAAACCTGGCTGACAGATGGGCTGCAGGCACCTCGGGGGTGAAGCCAATGGAAGGAGACAAGAGCTTTGACACAGAAGTTGGCAGGAGCCCTGCAAACCATCCAGCACACGGGGTGCTTCCCTTCTCCAGGCCCAGTACGGAGCCCCAGCGGAACAAAAGCCCTTTCTCCCCAGCCTGCCCTGCCCAGAGTAGATGCTATCAGGTCACCCCCGTGATGCCAGCAAGAGAGCTGACAGGCAGAAGGACAGGCAGGAAGGCTGGGAAGAGCCAGGGGGGCTGGAGAGAGCCGGCAGCACTGCAGGAGCCAGCTGGGATGGAGACGAGCCCAATGGATCCATACCAGGGAAAAGCTGCTGTGTGTTGGGCTCTGAGGGTGGCAAGAGGCTACAGAGCCAGGAGAGAGCCACCAGCACCTGCAGGGTGCTTTGGAGTACCCTGGGGTGGCCCCACTCTGCCCCACTCTCAGACAGCAACTGGATCTCACCTCCCAGTACCACCTCCTGGTACAAAGCCCTTGAGTGAGTGATCCCCACACGGGAAAAAGCCCTTTAATGGCCAGGAGTGTAGTTGTGTAGTTATTTGCTTTCCCTGCTACAAAAAGCAGGGCTTGAACATAAGCAAAGACCCAGAGAGAAGGGGACCCTCCAGAAAACACACACACAGACATGCACAAACACACAGATATTACACATGCATGCACAATTCTCTCTCCCTACTTTCTTTTCTTTTTTTTTCTTTTTCTTTTTTTTTTTTTGCTGAGCTGGCGAGAACTGCGGGAGCAGAGCCAGGAAAAACAAATCAGTCCTACCATCCCATTCAGGAAGTTTCACTTTAAACCAAACCAGATGATGGCTCCAGCCCTCGGATATGTTTAACTGTGAGATAACCAGCCCGGAGCACAACGTGCCAGGGCTGGGGCTGGGAGGGGAGAAAACAGCCCTGATTCCTGACTCCCCGCGGCTGCTGGGTGTCACGTAGGCACCCCGTGGAGCAGCAGGGGTTGCAGGGGGGGAGCATGGGTGGGTTTTTCCCAGGAATGCCTCCCTCTGCCCTGCTGCTGCAGAGGAGTTCTCTTTTGGTGTTTACATGGTGCTCCCAAGCTCTTGCTGCCTGGGGACTCAGCTGAAGCCCCGCACTGGAAGGCACCTGGAGTGGTGGGAAGCCCAGAGATCCCACAGCATGGAGCAGGGGAGGGGACCCGTCATGGCTCGAGCAGGAGTTTGCTCAACCACAGGAAGAACTTGTTTCCAGCCTCAGATGGTGATCACATTGTGCCATGAGACCAGGAGGATGGAGAGAGTTCCTGAGAACTTCGTTGAGCTCTTGTGCAACTCCGGACTCCCAGCCCACGAGTTATCCCTCCCGAGCCACCTGGGATTATTCCACCCCTGCCCTGCACCGTAGGAGACATGGGGTGAGGTCAGCAGTGCCCGGTCACGGCTCTCAGGACATCCCTCAGCACGCAAAACCTTTAAGGTCACCAAGGAAAGGTGTGTGCATCACACAAAGAGGTCCCCAGCCCAAGGTCAATCAAAGCCAGTGAGAGATTAAACTCCAGAGCTGCTGGTGCAGCTTCCGGACCTAAAACACTCCCTTACACATCACTGAGCATGGAGGCAGAGCCCTGGGGAACTGGTTTGGACTGGTGGCTCAGTGACTGTGCTCAGTCATGCACAGCAGCTTGGCGGTGGTTTGGGTGATGAAGAACAGGGCTGTCCCTGTGACAGTCCCCTGCCCACCCCCAACCCAGCTCCAGCCCAGTCCCTGTCCAGCAGCACGTGCAAGGGCACCACAGCCTGTCTGTGGATACCAGGGAACAATCCAGGAATGCTGCTGGCCATGACTCCCAAGGCAGCTCTCCCTGTTCCAGGTATGGCTGGCTGTGAGCACAGCTCTTCTGCTACACCACGATAGCCAAAGTGCAGGCTCTGGCTCTGCATTTGCTTCAGAAATGCATTTTAATAACGCTTTTTGGGAGAGGAGTCAGCTTGAGAGTTGGCCTGGGGTCCACACAAACCACCTGGGGGAGGAGAGGTAACCACCCCTGCTCCATGCTCTGTGCTCATCCCTCACTTCCCCTCCTCACCACAAGTTAAACGCACCCATTGGCACCTTCACCCTCACTCTCCCTGCCACAAGCCAACCAAGAACACCCCAGAAGCCCCTTAACAACCCATCTTTCTTCATCTGCCAGCAGAGTGGTACCCAAAGTGGGAAGGGAGGAAGGTCCAACATTACTTCTGAAGGCATGATCTGCCCACTGCATTCACTGCTGTGAGAGCTTCCTTCTTTTTACCCAGACACACAAGACCAGGAATGCAGGTGGGATGCAAATCCCAGTTGCTTGGGCTGTTTTTCCCAATATCCACGCACCAGTAGCAGTTTCCAGTGCTTTGCTTGCTTGCTCAAAAAACTGTCAGTAACTTAACTGGCAGTTGCCAGCTTCAGGCTGTAACTGGGAAAATGCGCCCACTCAGCTCCGGAGCGGTCCAGGAAAGCATTCCTAATTCCCCCTCCCATTCCCAGCTGGATTGGGGGAGGCGGGGAGGGGAGAAAAGAGCATCAATTGAGGCTTTCACTTCCCAGCAATGATGCTCATCTGCCACCGAAAATTAACTCCATGTGAGTCTTATTTTCGCTGTGGTTTGCTCTCCGTGGTTTCCAAAAGGGAAATGATACCCCCTTCCCACATGTGCTCATCCCACTGCTGCGGCCGTGGGAGTCGGGGCTCCTCAGGTCTGCCCACCTTGTCCTGCCTGTGATGGATTTACTGGCATGGGAATAAAGACCTCTCTGCACTGCACAGGGGGATTTTCTGAGGGTGTTCACAGGTAGAAATGAGGGGTTTATCTGCAGAGAATGTTCACTCCCAGCACAGCTGGGAACAGAGAGCCCCAAATGGAAGGGACCCAGCAGCTGTGTGCTGGTGTGACCCCGAGGACATCCCTCAGACCTGCCTCAGGATGCAGCACCCTTTGCAGGGGGTTTCCCTGGGGTGTGAGGCTGCAGGAGGACGGGGCACAGGGGACTCACCTCCCGGGCTGGTCGGGGTATTTGTGTTTGCAATAAGCCTCTAGTGACGCGTACACCTTCTCCCGCAACGCCTCCACTTCGGCCGGGTTCGACAGACCCTTCGAGTCTGAAAGGCAACAAAAAGACCATCAGCCAAAAAATCTCCAGGTTTTCCAGGCAGGCAAGGACCCCCCATGTGCTTCCCAGCTCCCTCCATCCCGCTCACCACCACTAGACCAGGGCAGAGCGTGGATGCAGGGTCTGAGCCCTGGGTGTTTGGGGCAGTACCAAACAACTCCTGGGGAGCATTCGAGCCCTCAAAGGTTTGCCTCGTGACTACAGATCTGGTTTATTTCGCTTCATATCCCCACCCCAACCGTTTTGGCTCATTCCAGTGGTCCCTCATTTGAAGGGTTTCAGCCCCCCCTCAAATCCTGGGCTTGTGGGATTTCTCCCTCCAGCACAAGCCCGGAGTTGGGGCTAAAGGAGAAGCCCCGGCTCTGGCAGGTCCCCTGTGACACAGCCAGGATCTGTTTTTAGTAGGGTGAAAGGGACAGTCAAGAAATCGATATCCCCAAGCACATGTGCCACGGGAACCTCTCCAGATTCCCCTTCTTTTACCATATACGGCTAATCCCAAATTACAGACAATAAATTACTGGTGATTACAAGGAGGGCAGGGAATAAAAAAAAAAAAAGCCAAGAAGAAAAACAAACCCAAGAAACAGCAATAAACCCTGCTGAAATGGCCTGGCCTGGGTTTGGTGGGAAAATCCAGGGAAGGAGCTGTGCTTGGGCACAAACTGTGCTCCTGAGAGGGCAGGGAAGGGAGGGGAGGGGTGGCTGTGGACATGGAGGTCTATCCTTGGCTTCCATTTGATTTTTTGCTCTGGACTGACCTGCTCTAAAATAAAGAGACACCCTCTGAGCAGAGCTGTGCAGGTATGTGCAGGCTGCCAGCTGGCTCCTGCTGCACAGGGATTTGCTCCCCAAAATGCTGGAGACAAGCCCTGGCACTGAACCTTCTTCTTCCCTTGGGCAGCTCGGGCCAGGGGGAAAAAGCGAGCAGCATGAACCTTCCTGGAGTCTGTGGAACCAAGCAAACTGCTGACAGATGTTCAAGTTCTTGTGTATTTTATGAGCACGTTTCATGTCTTTCACCCTCTCCAGGTCTGCGAAGGGCTTTTCCAGAAACACGGGTAATAAAACCCCCTGGATGATGAGATCAGGAAACAGAGACAACAATGTCCGTGCTCTGGCACTGCTCTAATCTGTACTTTTCTCTTAAAGGATGTCTACATTCAATTTTGCTTCGATTCAGGGATAATTCCCTCATGCACTAGAACTTTCTTCTCACAGAGTCACTCTAAAGGGGGGCAAGCTGAGAGGATGAGGGGGAATGGCTGTTAAACTGAAAGACAGCAGGCTTAGATTGGATATTAGGAAGAAATTCTTCCCTGTGAGGGTGGTGAGACACTGGAACAGGTTACCCAAAAAAGCTGTGGCTGCCCCTGGAAGTGTTTAAGGCCAGGCTGGACAGGGCTTGAGCAACCTGGGACAGTGAAAGGTGTCCCTGCCCATGACAGGGGGTGTGAAAGGATGAACTTCAAAGTGCTTCCAACCCAAACCACTCTGTGATTCTGTGAAAGGGAGGAATGGAGAGCAGCACTGGCACAGATCCAGATCCACCCCTGACCTGCACAGGACATGCCTGTAAGGTGGCAGAGCCTGTGCAGCACTTAATTGAGCTTCATCCTTGCCTCTCTTCCTTCTTGCCCTGTCCTTGGTAACGGGGTGCCCTGAGCTACTTGCAATGGAGATTTATAGGGAAGAAGAGGTGCCAAAAGGACAGAGCATCAGCCAAGAGGGCACAGGAGAGAAGATACAGTCATGTACCAGGGTTGAAGAGGACAATGGCTCGCAGGCAGCCCAGCTCTGTCTTGTCCATCAGCATGTCTCGCATTTTTGACACGAGTTCTGTCAATACTCTGCAAAGGACACAGAAATCACAGGCGTCAGTGTTAAAGAGAAATGAGAACACCCAGGTGTCAGAGCCAGAGTGAGTTCCTCTGGTCACAGTTAACGAAGCCAGGGGATGGTGCTCGCTTGTACCAGCTGAGGATGTGGCCTCATCTTCCTCCTCTATCAAAAATAGCTCATTAGGAACACCAATAGTTCCCATGAGGTACAACAGAGGCCATAAAAACTGGCTTCATCCATTCACTGAGAGGCTTTGGCACCTGAGAAAGCTGCCTAAAAATAAAAAATAATAATAAAAACCCACCCCAACAGGTACCTAAAAGTAATTTCCTCTGCCGGTAATTTTTATTGCTCCCTTCGCTCCTACCGCAGGTGCCGGTCTTGAAATATTTTCCACTGATTGCCCAGTTTTTCATGTTAGATCCTGCAGGGAAGTCATGATCTTGCACTTATGACCTCACAGGAACAAATGATGTCACCCAGGTCTGAAGAACAATTTCCGTGCAAGGCACAGCACCAAAGGTGATTTGCTTTCAACTAAGTCGCCTCAAGACGAGTGTCAGGCAGAGAAATCGGCATTTCAGCGGCGTCTGGAGCCACACTCTGGGTCAAACACCCTGGAAGTCTGGCTTTAAAACACTTTCCCAAAGCATGAGATTAAAGAGCCCTCAGGACACGCATGTGGAACCTGCTGAGTATTTTTGGTGCCTTTTCATTGTGAAAATAAAATCACGTCTTGGTCCAATTAAAGATGAAAAGAAACAATGGAGTGGCCTCCTCGTAACATTAGAAGGCATCTGGACCCCATGAAAGAGGCTTTGATTTGCACTGGGCAGCCCTCTCCCTGTTCTGGGCTGTTGGGTTTTGCAAGTTTAAGAGGAGGATTTAATGTCTTTGCCTGCAGCAGGGGCCACAACACTTCCATGCACGCCATGGGATGGACACCCTCATCCTGGGCTCCTCCGAGGTTGCAACGCGGGGAACGGAGGCAGTTTGGTGCAGAGACAGAGATGGGGATGTCCAGGCAAGGTGTTTTGAGATGCAATCCATCCATTCATCCATCCATCCATCCATCCATCCATCCATCCATCCTCCCTCCCTCTGCCCACCTGTCGAAGATGGCCCCGACGCCAGCGCTGTGCGCGCTGTTCCGGTGCACGTGGAGCCCGGTGGCTAAGAGGATCCCGTCTTTCACAGCTATGGAGCGGTGGGAGAAGGAGGCAATTAGGAGCTCATTCCACCCTGGGGAGGAGAGAACAACCAAGGCTGCAGGTTAGAGCCACCTCAGCAGGTCTGGGAATCAACATCACCTCCCCAGCACTAAAAGGAGGAGGAACGCGGTGGAGGAACACGGCTGGATGTGGGAAGGGAGAGGGGAGCCAGCCTTTTCTTGGATGTCAGGGAAGGAAAAAACCATTAAGAAACAAATGCACTAAAAATATAATGCTAATAAGGGAAGCAGTTTCCTCTATAAACCGTGCAGACATGGCAGCAAACAGCTCTGCCTGCTCCTCTCGCTGTGAACCTCCGTGTGGGTGTGGAGCCCTGTGCTCCCCTCTGCCCTCACCCGCTGCCTCCCAGCACTTCCACACCTATCAACGCTTTCTATCACTTAATTGGGCTCATTTTCAGGCCATAACAGGGCACGAAAGTTCATTCACCATCATTCAGCTCTGTAAAAGGGACCAGGAAAACTCTGTCTGGTGGGTTTGCTGCTTCTGCCGTGTAAATACTGGGAGGGCTTGTGTCTGCTCTCTGCACCGGGGTGTCCCACATCCATGACTGCTCCATGAACTGCTTCCACAGCTGCTTGGAAACCAGCTTTTAGTCTTATTATCTACTGGACATGTTATGCTGGGATATAGGAAACACATCCTCTGAGCTCAGACCTCCCCACCTTCCAGCTCCCCTTCCCAATCCAACACCTCTTTAAATTCCTAAATCCATCACAGGCTCAGTTCAAGAATGCCTGAAACAAAACCACAATCAGAGGACATGCTGCAAAGTTTGAAGGGTGGAAATTTTGGTGACTTTCAACCAAGGAGCAGCATTTTTGGGAAGAGAAGACAGTTCTTCTGCAACACCCGTCACGTGGCTGATTTACCCAGCCAGAACATGTCGTGGAGTTCAGAGCACAGGGTTGCCTGGCAGGGTCCAGAAACATCAGGATATTTGGCTTTGGGGTCTTTTTTTCCCAGTCTGGAAAAGCAACACAACAATCCTTCACCCCTCCTGCCACAGGAACACATGGTGTCTCACTGACTGAAATAAACACAAGGTCCATGTGTGCTGTATTTACCTACTGTTGGAGCCATGGGTTGTGCCATTAGAAATGTTGACAAGGAATAAAGTTCACTCTTTCCTAAGTGGCCACAGGATGTTTCCACCCCAATCACGGGAACGTTTATTTGGCTATTTACTGGGTGAGGCCTGGCACTTTCACAGGGATTGCAACACTGTGAAACCCAAGGAGAACGGAGGAGAAGATGTGGGACTGCACCAGGAGCCTGAAGAAACTGTGTTCCCTGGGTGAAGAGGAACTCCCAGAGCCAGACCCACGGGAAGGTGCCAGGGGTGCCCCCCACCAGCCATCACACACAGACCCACGGCAGCTCCACATGCAGCTCCAACCAACAAAAACCAGAGCTGGCTCACAACATCCATTCCAAGCTGGGCTTATTCCAGGGAAGGAGCGCTGAATTAATCAACATCCTTCAGCTGAATTATTCCCATGTAGAGCTGGGATGTTCCAGCTGAAACGGGGAAGCTGTTTCTACATGGTCCTTTCACCAGAACATCCCCAAAGAGCTCACAAAATAGAGACAAGCAGGAAATATTAGGTGTAACCACAGGCAGAAAATTTGAATTAAGAGACCAAACAAGTCTACTCCAAGATTTTTGCATTTGAGCCCAAGCTCTGGAGAAGCAGAGCAGATTTCTTCAATTTGTGTGACTCCTTCCTCACCACACAAGGTGGCTGTGCAGCCTCCAGGGATGCTTTGGCTCCTCTGGGATAGGGAAGGCACCTTGGCAGCTTAGTGACCATCGTGACAATCCATCTCACTGCCAAGCTTCCCCACCAGCCCTACAAAACCAACTGCAGCTGCAGAGATGTAATGCTCAGCATCCTCTGCCAGGCTGAGAAAACATCAGGCTATTCCTGTCTCAGCCCTAGCAAGCTTGGAAACGAGAAAACACGGGGAAAAACAGGCTTAAAAAGTCAGGTTTCCTTCCCCTCCAAAAAGCTCAGAGAGGGAAATATTTTTAAATGATTCAGGATCTGAGGAGAGCTGCTGCCAGCCCATCCAGCACTGCTCCTCCAAAGATGCGTGCTCCACTTCTTTTGCCTCCCAGGATGCATGACTGAACCTGACTGACGCTCTTAGCTGAATTTTAATACCTTAATATTTCATGGGCAGCTGTTCTCAGCAGGCCGCTCTCCACACTCAATAATACATAGAGCCACTGGTTAAAAGACTTGGGGGAGGTTATCTGAGGCCCTGGCAGAGACACTCAGAGCAGGGAGCCCACTGGAGCTCCTGTAGGTGCTCAACAACCTCGTTCCCATGGGGTTAGAGCCACCACGAAATTTGGGATGTGATGGGGTCTGCAGCCCCTCTGCTCCTGCCCATGGAGTGGCCCCGAGGGGGAGAACATCAGGTCAGGAACATTCAGCTTCCATTAGCTGCCTTCTAAAGAGAAAGGAAAACCTGGAACTGTTGTTGTGGGTTTTGGTCCCTCTTCACAAAGGGAATCTGGTCTGAATCCAGCTCTTCCCTGAGATATTTGCAGGAAGCTCTCAAAGATTCCTGCAGAGATGCTTCCCTGCTCATCCACTCTCACGAGAGGCTCTAGAGACTCTCTTCAAAAACACATTTTTGTACGTTCCATAGAGGGCCTGGAGCCAGCTCTGGCAATACTCACACCCATGGAAAAGCCAGAGGAGCCCCTTCACCAAGGGGTTGCAGGAGTTATCCTGGGAGGGTGCAGGACCTGGCCAAGTCTGCAGAGAGAATAACCCCCCCAAAATTTCCATTCCCAGACCACTATATGAACTGTGACTATAAAAATCCCCTTTCAGTAAAATAAGTGGAAAACACACACCAGTAAACAGTGTGACTTCAACAACCAGACACTCTTGAGGTCAAGGATGTCAGAGAGGTTGTGAGGGGAACAGGGTATCTGTGTGTAGGGCCAAGGTACTGGCTGATAGTCAATAAAAAGTTGCACAAAGTTTAAAGATTCGTGCACTTGGGCTACAGTCAGCCTTAAAAAATAGAATGGCAGCTAGAGTTGGTGTGGTGGGAATGGGAAAACACTGATCCCATCACCTTCCTACCCTGGAGTCCCTACAGCTTCTCCTGAAGCAACCTGGACAGATCTTGGACCAGAAGAGTTCTAACAGTTCCTATGTTTTGTGTTGATGTGAATACCTTGCACTTGGTCCTTACAACACTTTTCTGCCCAATTTCATGGGGATTTATTGGGGGGGGACACATTTTCTATGGTAAAAAGTCAGAATGCTGCCACCAAGGTGGATCAGCAGCATCTTCTCTACAGAGACTCAAGGTCAGAAGGGTGCAGAGAGAGGAGCCACACTCTGCAGGCTTCTCTCCTTTTAAATTCCCTACAAAAGTGAATTTTGGGGAAACAAGAGGAACTTTTAAAACTGCCAGGGACTTCAAAGTCCCCAGCTTACAAAGAGTTTCATGCCTAAAACACATCCTCACTGAGCTCTGCTCTTGATTTCTTGCCCTCCACGATCTTTGTACAGCAGCAGGGGCTTGAATTCACTCGATGGGGGAAGACCCTTTTTACAGCAAACTGCTTTCCACCTCCCAAATCCTGCAGCCCCCCTGCTGCACAAGGAAATTTAAAATAAGCCCAGAGAATTTTATTTTCATCTTGGTGGGTGGGAGAAGGAGGGCGATATAGTTTTCTCCCCTTTCTGGTTTTAATTATGATCAAACATTTTAGCTGGGTGAAATTTCATGGAGGCCCAAGCCCACTTGGTCTCTCAAGTCTCAAGTCTGGGAGGAAGGCAGAGTGTTAAGTCTCTTGGTTTAAATCACCCAGCACCCATCTCTGAGCCCCTCACTCATGAGAGATGAAGCCAGGCCATTTTTCAGCTGATTGGCAGCTGGTGCCACGTTCTGGATCCCATTCAGCAACACGTGTCCCTTGGGGCTTTTTAAATCCTATTTAGAGATTGAACGGTCAGAGGCTGCTACTCAGAATCAGTTAAAGGCTTTCAAAGCTGCCAGGACCTAAATCTAAGGGCAGTACCTGTCCCAGTGAGGATGCAGCACTCCCATCCCACTCACCTGCTCGGAGCAAGATGACCTGGTCGTCCAGGGGCAGCTCGGAGAAGTGGGGGATCCTCTTGGCCCACTCTACCAGGGTGAAGAGCTGTTTGTCTGCTGCCTGGCATATGTTCGTCACTGGGTCATTGGGCTGCCAGGAAAAAGAGAATGGAAAGGCTTGGAGAAGGCAGAGCAAGGAGAGGAGAGGCTGGAGCAGCAGCTGAAGGGGCTTTCTGCCTCCCTGCCACCCCTGAGGTGGATGTTATCAGTCACAGGGAGAGGAGGTGATTTGACTTCTCCACCACATGGGTTTTAATAGTTTTTAGCAAGCTCCAAAGCGGGAATTGGGAGTGCTGAGAACCAATATCCATCACACTGACTGATGAATCAAAGGACCTCCAGCCCAGGGAAGGGCAGGCTCCCCATGCCAGCATCTCCCAGCTTGATAAACCAGCACCAGAGGGGGCATTACAGAAAAAAAGAGAAAACCCCTTTCCTTTGAAATATTATCCAGTAACAAAAACCATCTGCTCTCAAGGAGGACAGTCAGCCTAAACACACCAAATCCCTGTTTAAAGGAACTGCTAACAGCTCAAGTGGGCTTGTGATTAGGAACTGGAAGAGCCTGTCTAACCCTGACTGAGGCAGAGCTCACTGGTACAAGTATGTGTGTAGGGTTTACCCCTCTGGACAGGGATGTATGAGCCCTTCCACATTTCCCACTGATATCCAGCAGCCTGGACTGTACAATTATTTTTCTTCCATGTCCTTAAAAGAGCAGTTTCCAAACCAGAAGGAGCAGTGTTTACTTCACCCCTGGACTGCAGGGGGAACGGGGTGTGAATTCAGAGGCAGAGCAGACACGACCACCAGTATAACCTCTCCCCCTGCAAGGCCATTCCTCACCTCTTCGTGCCACAGCAAACCCCTCTCCCAGGCTGGACAAACAAGGGTCATGCTGCTCAGTCACCCTCCTGCCCTCCACAGCCTTGCCCCAGACCCTGGCCCAGCCCTCTCTGCTGTGCCCTGGCAGCAAACCCAAACTCTCTGCCTCATGGCCACCATCTCCCATTCTCCAGGCTTAAAATAACCAGGATCTGGCAAGCTCAGGGCACTTGCCTTTGAGGTATTTTCAGCTGTTGCGTGCAGAGATGGATGGGCACGGGCTGGCACCGCCGTGGGGACGGGCCCCCCTGCTCTGCCCCTCTCCAGCAGCTCCCTGAGGGCAGGGGAGTCTCACTGCCAGGGAGCTGAGGCTCTCCCCTGGGGAGGGAGATGTGAGCAGGGATGGGGCTTTTACCTGGCAGAGGGAGAAAAGATGGGATTTCCTCTGGACAACAGGAAATCGCTAAACTGGGTGTGAGGAGGAGGTGTGAGGAGGAGCTTTGCAGGGTTGTTTTGCTGGAAGCACAGGGAATGTTGGCATTTAGAGGTGTTTTCAGGAAGGGTGAGAAGGAACACCTGTGGTGCAGCCTACAGGAATGTCTCCAACCTCAAGCCACCTCAGTTTGGTCAGCTGGAGCTGCCAGGTGGAGAAACCCGGTGTCCTGGCTCCTGTGGGATGGGGATGGAGCCCTGTGTGCCCCAGAGGGGACATGACTTATGGGAGAGCCCATGCTCCAGCACAACCTGACCCAGCATGTGCCTGCACAGCCCCACAAAAGGGGTATTTTAGGCAAGTAAGATGTTTTTGCCAAAGCTTTTAGCAGGGGTGGCTTCTGGGCAAGTTGTCACCGTCTCTAGGACTCACAAGGTGGGCTGCAGGTGCCCCAGCCCAGGCTGTCACTGGGGCTCTGTGGGCAGCACAAGATGTACCCAACCTCTGGTGCTCTGTCCAAAGCCTCAGCAAGGGGTCCAGCCTTTAATTACACCTCAGATGGCAATTCCTGGAACCACCACGGCACTTCCTGGCAGAACTTAATCACAGTAGAGTGAGAGGCAGCTAAAAGTATCCTCCCTGCAGATCCAGAGGGCCCTGCCTGGGCACAGAGGGGCTGGAAACCCTCCCTGTGCACGGAAAGCAAATCCCCTCCTGCAGTAAATAGCAAGGGCAGGGTGCTGGAGTGTGACAAAATGAAAGGGCACTTGATCCCCTTGGAAAACTGGAGCTTGGAGGCATCTTCCAGAAACTGGTGACTTGGAACCAGACATCAAAGGCCAATTAAGAGCTAATGGGGATAACACCTCTCAGTTACACACTTCGCCTTTCAGCAGCCAGGAGCCCATCCAAGGTGGTACTTCCACCACAGGAGCGCAGATTCCCAGCAGCCAGGGACATGGGGCAGAGGAAAACCTATCCTCACTGTCCAGGGACAGTACCTGCTCCAAGAGCAGCCAGGGAACCATGGCACAAGGTGACAGTCACAGGCATGAGAACATGCAGTGACAGGACAAGGGGGAATGGATTCAAACTGGAAGAGAGTAGGTTTAGATGAGATATTAGGAAAAATTCTTTCCTGTGAGGGTGGTGAGGCACTGGCACAGGTTGCCCAGAGAAGTGGACCCATTCCTGGAAGTGTTCAAAGCCAGATTGGACAGGGCTTGGAGCAACCTGGGCTAGTGGAAGGTGTCCCTGCCCATAGCAGGGGTGATCTTGAACTTTCCAACACAAACTACTCTATGATTCTATGTGGGAGAGGAGGGTGTTAACTCCTACATCACTCTGCCACCTCTATCCCAGCCTGGCATGGCCAGGTGGAAATGTCCTTGCAGGTCACCAGAAGCTTTCAGTGCAGATGGACTAAGGTGCAGAGGCACAAACCAAAGGACCCAACACACCAGGTTAATAGCAAACAGCTTCTGTTTTACCCCCTGTCTATCAGGGACTCGACTTGTCTGCCTTTCCATCACCTGGGTTCCCAGGGGAGGGCTGGGAGGATGGTTCCTCCTCCATCTTCCCTTGCCTCATCCTGTGGCCTGGTCCCTGGGAGCTGCTGATCTCATACATCTGCTAAACCTGCTACAAATGTCACCTCATCGGCAGAAGCCGCCTGACAATAATAGGGCATTTCAACAAGCCTCCTGCTTCTATTTAGATGCAACACACATCCCTGTTCACAGTAATGCGTGTTGAATTATGCAGGAACCAGCTTTCAATTTGCTACAAGAGGCTGAGGAGACGCAGTGCCAGACGAAGCCATTTATTTCAGCTCGCTCTCTGGGGTTTGTTTTCAAGTCAGCACAACGCTGGCTCCGACTCCCCTGAAGTGTTTTTAATCCTGAGAGCAGTCAGAGCCTCTCTGAGCCCCTCACTAACCGCTGCCTCTCCCTTCAAAACCAACCAAGTCTCTTGCAGCTTCATGGTGATGGGACCCTCCTCTCAAATGCAGGTGAGCAACACACCCTGTATCTGATTCTGGAGAGTTTCACTGAGGAACCGGCTCTGTCCACATCAGGAAGCCTCACTGAAAAGCCTCACCTAAGGGATCCAGCCATAAGGTGTCCTTGAAGGTAAAGGCCAAAAAGAGCATCCCATAGGGCCAGTTAAGACTTAGGAGCAGCCTGACTCTGAAACCTCTTGTCCAGCCCCACCAAGCAGAATCACAGTCATAGAATGGTTTGGGTTGGAAGTGACCTTAAAGATCATCTCATTCCATCATGCCATGGGCAAAGATGAAGGTATTTCTGACTCAACCCTCCAAGTCTCATATAAAGGAAGACATGAAGTATTATTGTAGCAGAACATAAATACTGCAGAGTCCTTCCACCTGCTAGAAATAGCTGCATTTCATCATCTCAGCCTCACAGACACCCAGCAGAGAGCATTAAGAATTGCACCAGACTAGGATGCTCCAAGCCCTGTCCTGTTTCCCTGTCATGTCTCTCCTGTTTACACAAGGTCCTGTTAGAGCCCAGATGCTCCAAGCAGGCCCAGTTATAAAGCAAGGTTCTAAACGGGAAAGGAACATGAAAGCAAATCTCTAGGCAAATTTGTGCAGCTTTTCTCTTCTCAGAGCCAAGCAGCTGTGTAATTCTGCCTCTGAAAAGTCACACCCTCAGTTTACAGCTCTTATCTCTCTGCACTTCAGCCACGCAGGTCTGTTTATTGGCTCCATTGGACTCTGAGCTCTTCAGAGCATGGAGTGTCTTTCTGCCTTTTAGCACTGAGGGCTGTTAATTAAAATAAAATCTTCTCTGCGAGTCCTTCTAATTACACCTCACAGTATCTGTGCCTTCCCTGTGGCTGTGGGATAGAACAGTACCAATGCTGGCGGCTGCTGGGTCTGCTTTCCACGTGCTTCCATCTGAGCTCACGCACGGAGTGTACAGCAGAGGCAAGGAGTTGCATTTCTGAGCTCCTCCTTCTCCCACAGGACAACCCCCCCCCACCACAGGCTCAGGGCTGTACCCATGGTCAGCCTCTCCTGATGCCCCACAGCCACCCCTCGTGCCCCAAGTGGGCAGGGGGAGGAGGTGCCTCACCGAGCTCGGCGTCAGGCCCATGTTTGCCTCGATGTAGGTCTCTGTCTTTGGCTCCACAGCGAGTTCAGCTTCCAGGATCTTTTCCACAGGCATGTCCTCGTTGGCGCTACTTGTCGACTCCACCTCGTTCTCGTTGCGGTCCTTCCCCCGCTGCCTCTCCTCCTGGACAGCTGGAAGTGGACAGAGGAGGGACAGTGTCACTCTGGGGCTCCAGGCTCCATGGAGCTATGGGTGTTATTTAGCCATGAAATCCCAGAGCATCCTCAGACCTGCAGGATCACACAGACATCTGAGGTCTTGCTCTCCCACCAGTGTGGTCAGTGGGTCTCAGGATTGGATTGTTCAAGGTGGGGTAAGGTTTGGGGAAGACACCAAGGCAGCCCCAGCCTTAGAGCTGCTCCTTGTGTGCTCCCCTGGGAGTGTGGCAAGGGAGGATCCTGCTTGGACCTGGCCTCTGCTGGGGAAATCCCATTTCTGCAGAGGGGGAGGCCCTGGAAAAAAAAAGGTTAAAGACAAAAAAAGCAAAGGAAGCAACACGGCAAGTCACCACAGGAGTGGGAAAGGGATAGCTGAGGTCATACAATAAGGGAATACTAAAGAAAAGAGAAATTGGTCAGTTAAAAGCACAAATCCCGAGTTCAACCATCCTCTGAGGCTGTTATTCCCGTGGAGGTCATGTCATGCACCTCTCTAGCTCCCAGTGATGCCAAAGGCTGAGCAGGGCTCCGTGGCAGGCTGGTGCTCCCGTGGGACAGGAGCTCCATGCAAACCACCACCCTGCCTTTGGCTCGGGGCAACCTCTGAACAGACAGGAGAGACCTGTCCCAAATCCTGTGTGGCAGGAGGAACCTCGCTTGTCACATGCTGATGAGTTATGTCTGAGCAGCACAGAGATGAAAAACACTTATTAGATGCTAATAACATTATTATTAATGACCTCCCTTTGAAACCAGCACACACTTTCCCTACACCTGGGAAGGAGCTTTATGCAGTTACAGTGGGAACTATCTCCTTCTCCATCATCATGTCACATACCCTAAATCCCACACTCTTCCACACACTGTTGTTTCTCACAGTTTGTTTTAGCTCAGTCTACTTGAGAACAGCCCCAGCAACAGGAGATCCATCACTGGCCATGACAGACAACTCCCTGAGCTTGCCCAGCTCTTTGCTGAGGACTGAATGACACACTCAGTAAGGTATAAGCCCTGCTATTTATCGACAATTATCCCAACACTTTCCCTCTCTGCTGAATTTGAAGCTGGTTATGTGATGTTTAGGGAAAGCAGCAGGGGCACAGCATTATTTGGGGGAAATCAGAGCTGTCTGTAACACAAGGAGGCTTTTTAGGCAATCAGCGGGTCCAGCTCTATGCCAAGTGCAAAAATAAAACCTGCAATATAAAACTCATTCCTTACAAACCAGGAAATTAAGACACATGCTAAACAAGCCCTATATGGACGCTGATCCCATTAACCCAGCTCCTGGGGCTGATTCCCACTGCTCTCCCTGCCCTCCCCTCCTGCAGTGCTGCTGTTTGCTGCATGTCAACAGTGCTCACACTCCTTCCATGTGAAAGCTGTTATGCAAAAAAGCAAGGGGTTATTTTTTGTAAACTGCTCTGAAGTTTATGGGCTGCAGAGGCTCCCCAGGCCCACGTTACGTGTTCTGCTCGGGCTGCCAGAGCCAGGTAAGCTGCTGCTGTCAAGGGCTCAGATTTGTGTCGTGGCTTTTGTCCATCTGGCTCTTGTCTGGCACGGATTCTTCTTTTTCAGGCCAACATAAAAACCCTGCTTAAATTTCACCCCCCACTCCCACTCCTGCTTCTTCAATCGTCAAAAAGATAGAAAATTTTCCTTAATGTCAACCCTTCTTCAACAGCACAGATGCACCAAAACTCCTCTGGGCACATTAGAAGAGATAAAACACATACTAAATAACAGAAAAGCCTGAGAGAAAGGCAAACCCTCAACAAATGGGATCTTATAAAATGACTTAAATGCCAAAATTCTGATGCACAGTCACAGCAGGTCTTAAGGATAAAGGTGCAAAGTTGGTTCCTTGCTCTGAGATCAACCACCTCCATTACTTGGGGTGTCAGCCCCAAAAACTCACCCTCGTGCTGGACAATGGGATTTGTGGGAAAGCATCACAGAGGTCTGGGGAGACAGTGGCTACTTAAAGCCTTAAATCTGCAAATCTCAACCTCACCAAAGCCAACAGCCACATTCTTGGCATGAAGAATCAGAGACACTTCAGGGGTTATAGGAGAGAGAATCTTACAGTCCATCACGACAGCTCTGGCCTCTGATTAGGCTGAATCCAGCTGATACAAACGACAGACAGAAGAGACAGATGGGAAGAGATTATACACATAAGTAGTTATTCCTATTGATCTCTGCTTTGAGCTGTTACACTAGAAAATTGGTTCTGCAGCTCGCTGGGGAGCTGGTCAGGGGACAGCTGACTCATCCCAGCTCAGCCCCACGCAATCCCAACACTCGCCCTGTCCCAGCTGCCTGAGGCAGCAGTGACACCCCGGGCAGAGCAGATGGTGTATTCCCACCCAGGATCCAAAGATAAACCCAGTTCTTGCCGGGGAGAGCATTACCTGCTTTGCTACCCCCGTGTTTCCAAGCCCAGCCAGCCTTCTCCAAAGGCAGGACCAGCCTGGCGTCACTTTGCCATCGCCCCCGTCCATCCCATCCTATCCCATCCCATCCCTGGCTCTCTGGGCTGCAGGAAAGCACTGGCTGTTTCCCAACACTGAGCTCAGAGACCCTGTTATCCCCCCTTCCCCCGAGGATGATGCCTCATGCACAGGTCTGCACCAAGGTGTGCACCTGCAGGAGCAGGTGACTGCACTACGTGAAGCTCTGCCGCTCCTTAGGTGTTTGTGAACCCCACCTGGGAATGATGCAGGACACCTGCCCAGCCCTGGTTGATGGATGTAGCTCTCAGGGATGCCTGTGAGGCTGCTGACTCAGTTGTAGATGCTGTTTTCTCTCCCTACAGGCGGCTCCAGCAATGAAGTCGCAACAGCTTCATTCTTCATGTGTGCAACAGGTTTGCTCCTACCACAGCTCTGTGGTTGGCCTTGGGGTACACATGAACTCCAACAATCATCTTACTGTCACCTTGTTCTGCCAGTGTGGCACTCCCAAAGTCCCCCTTCAGGATCCAGAGGTTGAATTCAAACCTTGTGTCTCCATTTTCCTAATTTAAGATACACCCTGAAGCATCCTACAGCTCCAGGGGGCGTAAAGCCCAACAAGTTGTCCTGAAAGGTGAAGGGATTTGCAGCTGGCATTCAAGACTCTGGGATTCTGTGGGTTCCAAGACTTGGAATTCCCTGCAGGTGCTTCAGAAGCTCAGAGAGCACATCCAAGGTGAAAGGAGCAGGGAGAAGTGTCTAAGAGCTGTCAGTCACTCACACACCTTCTTAGCTGAGTCCTCCATGTCTCCCATCTCCACAGGCACAAGATGCCTGAATTTCCTGCAATCAGAATTTCCCTGGAGCTACTGAGGACCTGACAAGCTGTTGTTCCTTCTTAGCAGAGATGCTGAGGGACACATCACCATCTCAGAAAAAGAACAAGGACTTTGTTTCTTGAGATGTAGGGGAAAAGTAGTACGTGGGGCAGAGGAAGGGAAGAAGGGCAAGTATTTTTTTAAATCATGAAATATGAGATGTTTGTATGAAGGAAAATCTCCAGCAGTGAGGACACTGCTCACCATAATGATCTAGGATCTCATCTCTGGAGTCCACTCCCCCCTGGGATTAGTCAAATAAACCACATTGGAGATGACAAAAATACATTTTTTAAACGGACTTGGTGTGGGAACTGGGTTTCTTTGTGGGTTTGTCCTTTATTTATATTTTTAAAAAGAGAAATACAAATGTGGCAGCTGCATGGCAGCTTGTCTGGTAATATTGAAATGGGAACACCTCGTTCTTCTTGGCTTCCCAGAAGTCCTGTGCATGGGGATGGATGGTGCTCCACCCCTGTAACACAGTAAAATTCAGAAACAAAGTTCATTATATCATTTGTTTCTTGTTGCTTCTACTGGATTTTTCTGCACTGTGCCCTCCTGCTTTGCTGGGTGGGTAAAGAGACATCCAGCTGCTGTCCAAGAGAACCTTGGGAAGAGGATTAAACTACAGAGTGCCTGTGATTACAAGGCACTTGACAGCATGACCTCTAAAGACCTTTCCAACCTCAGCTGGGCCCTCCTGCTCTTGCTGCAGTGAGATGGTGATAAGGAGGTGAAGGGCTGGCAACACATCCCGTTGCTGAGAGCAGGAGGAGGGAAGGGCTGGCAGGGGCTCTCTGCAAGACCAGTGTGATCATCCTGACTCCCACCACACTCAATTCCCGCCTCAGCAGACAGGTTTGTCTGGACAAACCACAGGGTTTGGCTCGGATGGATGCAAGGAAGCCACAGAGAGGAGCAGGTGTCCCTGTCCTTTCATCTCCCTCTCAGTCTGTGGGTGTTAGATCCACTCTTAGGACTGTGCTGTTCCCAACAACGCTGATTTTTCTGGTCATGAGGGTGGCCCAGCATTTCATCAACAGCGTGGGCCTATCCAAAAACGGGATGTGAGCCAGGCATTTTGCTTGCTGCATCCCAAAAAAACACTCTCCTGCAAGGCAAAGCAGCCCCAAGCCGTGGCTCCCCCAGCCATGCCATGTTTCCAGAGCTGAGCTTCCCTGCGCTCTCCTCCGTGTTCACGGCTGTGCCAACGCTTTTGTTTTTCTTCAAGGAGACTCGTATGGCTGAGAGCTTTTCCAGTCTGATTTTCTAAGCATAAGGGAAGCATTTGAACCTTGCAATCCACTTGAGGAGGAAAAAAAAGATGTTGTAGTCAGGGAGCTCGGAGAGGCGGCCCCACCTCCTCCAGCTATGTCTGAGCCGAGCCAAGGACAGAAGCCTGTGTTTTCCATGGCACCTGATGAAGAGGCTCCTGTGTTATTCTGCTTGATTTGGTCTTTACTTGCCTCAGGGCAGTCGCTGTCATTTTTCATCTCGAGCTTCTCCAGCCCATCTGCACTTCCCCAGGCCATGGTACAGCAAGACACGGAACCCCATGTGTCCAAACCGCTTCTTGGTGACCTCTCTCTCTTTAGGATCCAAAGTGTCTCATCCCACGGGTTGCAGAAGAGCTCAG